AAAGCTGTTCCACATTCTTAGTTTGTACGTTAACTCAAACTCATAGTACTCATACTTATGGCCCATAGTACTCATACTCATACCCATACTCGTATACATACTCATACTCATACTCATACTCATACTCATACTCATACTCATACTCATACTCATATTCGGTGGGACCTCGTTAAGTATAGTTCTCACACTGTCTAAAGAGTAATTAAGTTAAGACTACTCACCCTTTTTTGTACTCGTCCCCTCCAACGCCAGTATTTGACGTTATACTTGTTTTGGGTGGAAAATTGAAGGATAATTTTTTTCACATTTCCAGTTCATGGAATAACATCTATTAAGCAGAGAAAAGCAGAAAGGTAAAGAAATGAATTTGAAGCCGAGTGAGGTAAATCACTAGCACAAAACAGTGGTCCCTCAACTCGTTTCAGACAATGTAATATGTATGTTGTGACCACATATTGGGATAACGATAATAATGACAGCTTAACAAAAAACACAAGATTATTAGCCAAGTACATGCGTACTGACCTCTGATCCCGTAAGACAACACTTACTGCTGTTGTCTTAAGGGAAGCTCCCTTTTCGTTCATCAACAATTAACGACCCAGGTAGAATTGTCTTGCATTTTCAACCTACGAGGAGAACATGGAGGAGAAGTTGGATGGAGATGCTGAAGGCAGTCAAGAAGAAGAACCGAATTATGGGTTGGTTTTTAAGGAATCTTTTTCTTTCTGGAAGGACCAGGGACCAACAGAAGCGGATGGGTAAGTCTTACTTATATTCGGATAGTGGGGGGAAAAGTACGCACTTGAACGCTTGAAAATACAGTAATTTTCTTTTTCTTGACACAAACAAAACTAAATCATCACTACAGTGAACCTTTTAAATCCACAGCGCTAAAAAAACTATCAGCTACATTTCAATTTTCCCAACCGATAAAATCACAGAAAAAGTATATTTGCTGTTCTCGACACGGAAATCTGGATACGGTTTAATACGACCTATCTTTTGAAAGTCATTTTAACTAAAACAAATATTTAGAATAAAATAAAATTAGTGTCTTTATATTCCTATAATTGTGATATTATAGCAATCGTTTGGTAAATCCTGGACAGAGGGATTGACTAAATCTGAAACTTATTTTTTCAGTGTGACCCTAAGGTCACTGAAATGTTTTAGAATTTTTAAACAAAAACTGCAATTTTATTTTTTGCCTACAGCATAGAGCTTTTATTTTTCTTTCAATCCTTGCAACCGTTTTCGTTTGTGGGCTTTTTTTTTTTATCAACAATAATTATTTAATTGACATCGCGACCACAGAATTCGAGTATTGTCTTCGACTGAAGTCACGCTCGAATCTGATTGGATGGAATTTATATTTTTATTGCGAGAGACAGAAGCTATTTGGTATTCGACTAAATAATATTTTGAAACAAAATCTGAAGTTTAGCTGCCTCAGTTTTTGATTCACGGAATAAATATGCGTAGAATTAGAACTACGTGAATACAACAAGAAATTCGCTTTTATCAGATTGTATAAGAAGAAGGTCGACTTTTTTTGGAGAGGATTGATGTGGTTAAATTATATGGTTGTGATAAAATATAAATCGTCTGCTACTGCAAGGGCGAAACTTATCAATTATTACAATTTTAGCAGGGGAAATCCCATGGGGGATGATAGGGGATCCTGCACACGCCCTGCATCCCGGCATTTTCAGCTCTCGCAGCGAAAAACTAAAAGAAAAGCACATTTCCCATTTCCAATCAAAAAACATCCTAAAATAGTAACATTCCTATCGATTTTAAGGGCTGCACAACCCAAGTCTACTGCTATGAACTTGGACTTCTCAAAGCCATGGAAAAGATCAGACGCCATTTTGACGGTCGACAACAACGTTAAATTCCACATCCACACGGGTGTCCTTTCTCGACAATCACCTATCTTCGAGCAAATGCTATTGCCAGAAAACCTTAGCAAATACCCAAACCGAGAGATCTTCCTTGCTGGGAAGAATGCCGACGAATTTCGAGAATTTTTGAAAGTGTTATACTCTGGAGAACCTGTGCGCGAGTACAAGATCAATTATCTGTTGCCACTAGCACACGAGTATCAAACTCCTGTTGTCTTAAAAAGATGCCAGGAGAGTCTAATCCCTAAGGTTACCAACGAGACCTTAGCCTTTAAATATATTAGTATTGCCCATACGTATGGACTGGAGGGGCTTCGACGTACTTGTGTCCAGTTACTGAAGGTCAAATCTTACACAGAATTGAAAGCTAGTCGAATGTATCGAGAACTACCCCCTCAGTGTGGATGGGATGTGACAGAGGGAAGAGTCGAAATACTAGAAAATGAGCTGGGAAAGAGAAAGTCCAAGCTGGAAGAAGTTTGCGATGATTTGATTACTAGAATGTTTGAGGAACTGTACAGAAAGCAATCTGGTGGCAGGCCTCCACCCATGAATGCAGCTATGGGAAATAAAATATGTTTTATTAAAGAAGCAGGGAATAAAAGTCCAGAAATAAAAATTATTGCAGAGACAATAGATAAACTGGAAAGATTATACTCTTGATTAAGCCTGTGTTATGCTGCATTGCTGGATCCAGAGTGTGGGGAGGAGTAATGACTAAACTTTTCGAGATATTTCAGCCACCATTAAAATGAGCAAGAAACTAATGCCCAAAACTGAACCTTTTCAAAGATAAGTTCAGTTTGTAAGAGCAAAATTTGAGTAATTTTGAAGCTACCACAATTGTGATATCAAAAATCTATAATAAAAAAGAGAATGCAAGGTTTGGATGGACAACTAACCATGTATGTCTTCCATGGAGCTAGTCTTGACAAAATAATGTCATAAACCCAGTAAAGCAATACTCTTGCTTTATGAAGGAAACACTTATAGAATGAGGTCCACTTTGATTCATTGCTCTCTTCAACATATACTGAAACAGTGGATTAATATTCACTTAGTTTATTAAAGTTAGTTATTTTATAGCGTAGATAGTATGCAAGTTCCGATATTTGGTAGAGAATTGTGCTTTACTATTGAATGGAGCATAGTTGAAGATGCTATACTTGCATGCACAGCAAACTTTGCAAAGAAGTGTAAGAAAACAGCATTATAACAGCTTTTTTCTCTGTTTAGTAATACAGCACTAAAAAATTGCAAAAGCACTCAAAAAATATGAGAAACACTTGCCTATCATGATTTGTTCTCAGTCTTGACACTTTCATGCTTACCTGCTGTATTATGAAATTGAGCACAGAAAAAAAGCTGTTTTATTTTTAAAATAAGTAAAGTAAAAATGAATGTGGTCCTATTCACTTGCTCATTTTGAAAGTATCTACCATCGTAATTTTAGTTTAGTTTAACATTTTCAATTTCGAAATCACAAAGAGTTAGGATCAGTAGAAAATTCCAAATTCCTTTGTGGGGGTGGGGGTATGGAAATTCTATGGATAACTAGAACTACATGTTGGATGCAGGGATGTCAACCCCCAAAATATTCAAATCTGGAGAATTGATATGGAAGGGACATGACGTCACAGCTCATCAAAAAGCGTGCGAAAAGACGTCTTTTGCTTTGTAAAATTTGATGCGATTGGTTTATTTCTGACCAATCAGATTATCGCTTATATTACAATGGCCTGCTTGCAAGAACAGTTTATGAGGAACGTTTTGAGTATCACAAGAAATGGTCAGCTTCGGCGATTATCCGGGAGATTTGAGACTCTAATAGAGAGACCGGGAGATACGGTCCAAAATCTGGAGACTCCCGGTTTATCCAGGAGAGTTGACAGCCCTGGGATGGTTGCAGTGGCCATACTTGCAACTATTCAAAAATATATTTGGTATGATTATGAGTCCAGAACACACAGCAATTTCCCAAGAACTGGAATTATTTCCCCTGAATTTCTCTACTATCATTGGGAGGAGGGAAAGAGTGCAACTGGAATCTTACTTTGCAGGCCTTTTTTTGCAAAATGCCAGGGCAAGTATTAATGATGGAGAAATTCCATTCCTCATAGAATGTTTTTCTTCTTAAATTTGAAGCTTTTTTATTGCTTCTGTGAGGAAAGCAAATGAATCCCACCTGACCTACACCTCCCAGCACATTCAAATTCCAATTTCCCAGAGTGAAATATGGAGATCCAGTTCACATTTTCACCTCGATCCCAGGATCCACCCGTTTTGGAAATGGGAAAGCCTAAAGCAAGCAGTTGATGTAATGTATTCTTAAAAAAACACACTGAATTGCACCTAATGCAATAGATAGAACGACATTAGAATACAACAGATTTTCTGAAGACATTTATACATCAACTGTGTGCTATGTAGACTCTCCTTTTTGAGATGGATATATACAGAGCTATCATTTTGTCAGTTTACCCATTTGACCAGTTTGCACATGGACTGACAAACTACCTTGCTGAAAACACAAGCTGAATAGTATTTAACAAAACAGTTGAACAAAAAAGAAAAACAATATTGACTATAAGTACTCACCCTTGCTTGACCTGACCCGCTTCAGCTGCTATGAATACCAGGGACTGAGTACTAGTGGCCGGAACGAACCACAGGGATCCCAAGCGTATTGTTTAAAAAATTCAAAAAATTAAACAAAGATTAAGTTAAGTACATTTTTGTATATCTATAACTTCTATGAAGTATTTATATAGAATAAAGCTTTTATTGGCTCTTCTATCTTTACCTTATTTTCTAATGATTTTTTCTAAATCCCTTAAAACCAAGCTTGGGACTCCTGTGGAATCAGTCGCCTATGTTCTTTGTCCGATCCCTGTATACAATATAATATCAAACAAATTATTTCGCTATTTCAAGCCAAAAGAAGCCTTATCTGCTGTGTGAAGTACATTAACAAAGGTAAGAAAATTACATATGAATTGGGTACCGAAATATAATATTTATTGGCCATGAATGAAGCTGTGCTACAAAGAATGCAAGTACGTGTAGCTGTAATGCTTTGACAAACAACGTCAGACATTACGAGTTTTTTCAATAAAATCGAGTTGTTATTCTATATTATTGGGTTTATCGGTAAAGAACTGCAGTTTGGCCGTCGTGTAAATGTTCTGGGATATCTAGAACTAGAATGGCTTTTGACAGATATCCTTGTAAGTTTAGATAATAAATCAAATCTTGCTTGCATCAGTCAGTCATGATGGGTCAAACTCAATCTGGATAGTAGAAGCTTAGATTCGATCTGTGAGTTAGTATTGCCCTGACTTAGCAGCGGCGGATCCAGGATTTTTTCAAAGGGGGGGGGGGGGTTGTAGCATTGATTGAGGTGGTGGAGAGATATAGCAGACCAAAGGGTTAAGGAGACGATTATTTGCTGCAGGCGAGCATGGTTGTTTCAGGTCCCATACACAGCGTATAGGAAAAAAAGCGAGCGAAATGTGTTCAGCACCTCTGTTTTAATAAAACTCACGATGCTGTTGGTGTTGTTATGAAAATAATAATAATTTTAAAAAATCACGATGGCTCTCATAGGGGGGGTTGCAACCCCCAAAACCCACCCCTACAGTGTGGATCAGCCACTGCTTAGATCATCCCTGAAATTGTCTTTAACAGGATGATAATTTATATACATATATACCCCTTTATCTCCTTGTCTACCTGTATAAATGAGCAGTTAATGTGTTTGAAATGCTAGAATAATGCAGAAGAAAGGAAGCGAACCAGATTTTGAAGAGCCTTGGCACATGAGTGATGCAGTGCTGAATGTGGAAGACAAAAGATTTCATGTGCATAAAGCCACTCTATCGATGTGGTCACCAGTATTTGAAAAGATGTTCACGGCAGGGTATCCTGAAAAGAATAATGATGAAGTATCACTTCCTGGTAAGAAAGCTTCTGAAATAAAAGAAATGCTCTTAGTCATTTATCCCACTTCCAAGGCTGTCACAGAAGAAAACTGTTACTATCTTTTATCACTGGCAAAAGAATATCACATGGAGCAGTTGACTGAACGCTGCGAGCAATATTTGTCGCAAAGAGAGAAGACACCTTTCCAAGCTATTGACTTCCTTGTCATTGCACATTCGTATAAAATGTCAGAGCTAGAGCGACAGTGTGTGGAAATAGCAAAGCACATGTCGCTTAGTGAACTGAGGAAACATGAAAAATATTCAAAGATTGAGCCTGAAGTGGGTAGACATTTGGTAGAAAGAAGAACTGAAATGCTGGAAATGAAAGTGAATGGTTTAGAACAGAAGGGGAATTCAATGAGGAAAGAGATCAAAGATGCTTGTGAAAGTGCCATCAAAGATCTTGCTAAAAGCATCTATAACAAGAAGTACCCAGACAGGGCACGGCACAGTATTCTACCCAGTGGCAGTAACTACTTGAAGGTTGTGGAAGAAGCTGCTCGTGAAAGTGGAGAAATTAATGTCATCTTAAATCTACACCAGAGGTTGAGGAAGGTTTATGAACTGCAACACATATGAATGCATGGAAGCATGGATTTTCACAAAACATGTTATTTCTGAAGGAAAGTCAGGAATGGAAATCAGGATTAATTAGCAATTACACTGTAGTTCTCGAGCCTGAATGAGCTATTGGCCCATATTAGTCAAATCCAACCAGTCAGTCAAATATATAGATGAAAACGAGTTTTGATTTAAGGTGACTGCCTACTTTTGAACATTCAATTTGAGCCCACAATGTGCACGTGCTCAAAAAAACTGCTGAAAAATCTACAAGATTTTATTGAAGAACCATACATGTTTTGAGCTTCAACAGGGCAAAACCCTCAAATTTTGCACGGGACTCTCTATTTTTTATTAGCGAAAAGACTCCTTAAAAATCTAGGTTATATCAACATTTTAGAAAAAGTTCATATCAGATTTTTGTAGGTATTTTTGTTCGACATTATGAGATTTTTTAAGAGCACCGAAACTACAAAATATGAGAAATTAATGTATCTCCTTGTCTTTTCGTCGAAAATATCCATGTATTATTGTAGAATGATTGACTAGCCTTCATTCATGCAATCATATAGTCTGCAAATAACTATTATCTTATGGATCTTAATTTTTTTCTAATCACTTCCGGTGGCACAAGCTTTGCTCCACATGCTCACGCGTAGGCTCCCATTAAATGCTGATTATCTTGAAAACAAGCTCAGGACACCCAGTTTTTCTTTCCAGATTTGGAATCAGCATTAAATTTCAATTCCAAAAAATTGAAGTTTTAAAAAAAAGTTTAGATCAATTTCCAAAAGTAGGCAGTCACCTTAAAGTTAATTTAATGTATTGGTTTTCAAAGCCAGCAGTTTTTGCTTCTAGAAGGATACAACTTATAGCTTAGTAGTGGCTCATCCAATCAGAACACAGTTTTTATGATAGACCACAAATTGGATTTGACTAAAAACGATTATTTTAATGTTTCTAGTTCATGTGCATGCTTTGAGTCACAGAAAAATGAAGTAATCAGTTATTTTTATTGCCTACCTTCCTTTGAAAATGTAGTTTTAAAAATTTTCAATTAACAAATTATCATAATGAAAAGATGATCGGTGATTTTAAATAGATGTTCATTCTGTACTTATAAAAGGAAATATTTATACTTTGACTACTCATCGATGTAAAATACCTGCTATGGGTGGGAGGGTAGGGGAAGAGAAGTGTCAGATCAACACAGCAATGTGTATAATTAAAATATGAATAATGTAATATGTACTAAGCCTAGGTTTTTAATTGTTTTGTTCCATAAATTATCCATACCCACCCCACAGAGGAATTTGGAATTTTTGAAAAGTAGGGGGGTCAGAGAAAGAACAAAAATTACAGTGAGTTTGTATGGAAGAAAATTAGAATTTCTGGGGGTTAAGGGGGGGGGGGGGTATGGATAATTTCTGTAACTACACATTGCCATTACTTTCACATGAATCCAATAAAAAAATAGTTAATCTTTAATAGCAAATATTTTCATATTCAAATGGTTAAATTATGCATTATATGATGAGAAAACCTTTATAAAATTGATTTAAGGCAAATGAGAAAAATGTTCAAATGTTTATACAATACCCTATCCCATTCTATCCTATCCTATTCTATTCTATTCTAATTAGGTACACACAGACCCTCATTCAGCGAACGTTTGGAAAATTACACACCATCACGCTCTTTACGCTCTTCTTTGAAAATGTTAATAATAACAATAACAATAGATGATAATTACAATAACTCGTATATGTCTTGATGATGTAGCTTGCAGTACTACACCAGGTCTCTATTACTATCCCAGCTTCCTCGGTCAGTGATCTTGTTTCATGTGACATTACATCAACACGTATACGTCTTTGATGACGTAGCTTGGAGTACCACACGAGGTCTCTGTTACTATCCCAGCATTCTCTGTCAGTGATCTCCTGCGCAACATTACCGTGGCTCGCCTCAGTCCATCACCGTTATTTGTGTGCCAGAAATTGTCTCTGTTATTATCACAGCGATACACTCGACCATCAAACTTGTTGTCTAAAGGAATGAATGTAAATACAAACACTTTAGTTTTACAATACAATATTTACAGTGGTGTAGGGGAAACAAAAAAAGGCCGTTTCTGTGGTTTTGAAACCTGGCTTTCACGCCTGGAAAAGAGCGCGCTCGTTCCAACAACCCTGTGACTCTCGCTAGTGCATAGAAAATTTTCTCTTTTATAAAATAGTCGAAATACAAATTCAAGCTCACTACTGTCATATGCACCTCAAGACTAGACCTCTAAACCCTTATAATAATATTCTAACTTCTCATTTAGCCATATACTCACTGGTCAATGAGTTCATGTGCAATTCATTGAATATTCCATCTCCATCTGCTTCAGAATAGTCTTGCAATGCCACAACTGGCTTTTGTTGTAAAGGATTGGGATGAAAAGCAATATTCGAACTATGGGAGGAAAAACAGAGTTATTTAAGTTGAAACGAAATCTTCATTTGAAATATTATCAAAAGCAGTCATAAAAACGAGTTTGAGATCAATTTTACTGCGGTGAGTGCCAAGAAGAGGAAATGTTCTGGGGAGCAAAACAATGCACGTTTTTTGCATACTGGGAAATACGGCATATACATTTTTAGGTCATTGGTTAATTGGAGGTGAATATTGTACGATATTCACCTCTGAATCTCGGAATATTGAGTGGGCAACAAAATGGCATCTGCCGGCAATCGTTTTGCTATAATTTCCGATGAGGAAATTGAAAAAATGAAAGTAAATGCCATTCCTATCAATACTAAAAAGGCAACGAAGTATGGCCTAAAAGTTTTGCTAAAAGTTTTGCTAAACGTTTTACGTGAATTTGTCACGCAAACTAAAAGTTTCTGTTTGTTTGTTTTTATTGAATTATTGTATACAAAAATAATTTACTCTGTACACAAGTTGGTATATGCTAAAACAATTATTCGCCTCAGGCTCAGTGAATATGGAGAATTATTCCCCGATATTCACTTCGCCTTCGGCGAATAATTGCTAAATAGGTACTTTTTGACGAAACATATGGAATTTCCGGACAATTTATAGAGAGATCAACAAAAGATCAATAGGTCGTGCACGTTTGGAAATCTCGCTCACGTTTTTTTTAAGTACTCTGAATCGAGAGGATGCTAAGAAGATTATAAGTTGTCTGACATCCTTCTTTCTGCTTGTGAAGAATTGATGAGCAAATGAGATGATTGAAAATTAAAAGAAGGAATTTTGATTAAAAAGGACAGTTTTCCAGCTTCTTATATTTCGCGTCACAAGCTTTACCAACAAATTTCCAGTTGCTACATACCTATATTTTGGATAGGCAGTGGTCCCAAATATCTTCCAACATGAAGCACTCCCACGGAACTCTTGAGTGTATCTGATCTGGACCCAGTCGCCTCGAATGTATGTTACTGCTATTGAGCCAGCCCCGCCTCCACATCCATTGCTGTAGACATTACCAGTAATCACTAGTTTTCCTCCAACATCATTGTGCGTCATTCTTACGCCGAGATTGTAAGTAGATTTGATCATAGCATTGGTGACCCGGTGCCATTCTGTCAAGAAATTAGAGCAAAATTATCAATCTCGTAAAAAGAAGAAAAAACAAACAAACAATAAAAAGAAAAAGATAGAAAGAAAGAAAAAAACTAAGTTGATGAACTTAGCATATTTCCGAGTTATAGTAAGCTTTCCGACTTCTTACTTCTTAACTTTGGCTGTGGGCACTTTGGCGACGCAACTGCAAAATCGCTCCAGTAAATCATGCAGACGAGTGCACTTAGCAGAAGGGTTCTTGACATCATCTTGCTTCTCTTCTCTGGATAAATTGTTTATTTTTCGAATCCGAATCGATGTTTCCAGCAACTTTTCACCTACTGGTCAGTATAGTCATGATGAGCCACTTTTATAGCCTTTTTCATTCTGTTGAAGCTCATTTCTTTACGTCACTGTTACGTCAACCAAACGATGAGATAACAGAATATGAAAGATTTCCGGTCCCGAACATGCATGAAAAAAGTGCTTGAACAGTGGAATAGGACACTTGCATTACATGGCATCATTTACTACTGCTAAGAGGATCCCTTGAACACTTTCTTTTGTTCGGTTAATTAGCTGCATTTGGACGCTATTTGCAGCATTTTTACGCAAGAAACGTGAGGTAATTAAGACCATCGAAAAGGTCACGATCAGATCAACTTCCGTTTTCCTCTCTGACTGGAAGTTGAATCGGTCATGCACACATACTGGAGCACAATGGGAACACCAAATTTCTATGTGTTCTGTCCATTAACGGCTAGCTGTCCCTCAGCTGATCATTGTGAAGTGGGTATTTGATCGATCTAAATTATATTGTATATCTCATGAGAGAGAAAATAAATATTTACAAAATGAGACATCAGTCTCCAAATTACTTATCTCATAAGATATTAGCTATATAAGATATCGATATAAGATTTCAGCACGGCTGCCATCACGCACAAGTTTAGATATTGATATGCTCTGAATTCACAAGTAAATTTCTTAGCTCCTCCCATTAACATTTGTACCTCTGGTTACGCCCTACACAGTTTTTACCCCTTTGCTCAGTTATTTTAGGGCCTTTATCTTTAGAGCCTTATAATATAAATGTTCCTCGTAATCTTTTCTATACATTTACGATATATTCATATAGTTTCAGCTAAGAGTTTTCAAGATTTTCACTCTTAATATCGTCGTTAGAATATCGCACTTAGGAATCTACTTATTCTATTAGCCAATCATCTGTCATCCCGGGGGTCTGTCATAAAGCCATTTTAAATATAGCTCATGTAATCAGTTCAGCAGAGTAAGATAGAGTAGAGTAGAGCTGAAGTCAATTTAATAAAGATCCTGAAGCTTCTACCGAGAGGGTCGTCCCGGATCCACGATCGGTTCACGTGAGCACCGTCGGTAGAAGAAAAGAGCATGTAAGGGAAGGAAAGTCGTGGATCAATGATAATACTGCACCATGGTGGGAATATTCGACACCTAAGGCTGCATAATGACCCCACGAACATTGTATTAACCTGAGCTTCAGGCCCAAGGGGAGGGGAATTAGGGAGGGTAGAATTAAGAGGGGAGAAAGGGCCTGAAACTTAGGTTAAGTATGTTATAGGCTTAGTTCAAAAAGGCTTTGGGATATTGGGCCCATAAATGTTCGTATAGGTATACAAAGTAATTTAAACGTATTTTTTACTTCAAAGTAGCAACACCTGAGTCCCCCATCCCTAGTTCTAAGTGGGCCTTAGAGTATGCAGGCCTGTATCGAGATCCAAGGTAAGCAAGGCCAACGAGGTCACGATCACTTCCGAGTGGAAGTTGGATCGGTCATGCACGAAATCATACACGCAGTGCATGTCGTCTCATCACCGTAGTATGACATGCCTATAACCCTGACCTACGTAACTGCATGGCACTCGGTGAAAGCACCGATGAGCTTTTTCTATGCGGGTGCATCATCTTCTCTGGCAACAATTAGATTGCCGGATTCCATAAGCCGGTACCATGCAGTTCGCGCGCTGTCGATTTTTTTGTCGTTCACGAGGCAAAAATTTAAAGATTTTAGTGACAAATATAGGATTTCGATACGGGGGCTGTCAATGATCATTAAGGAAGAAAAATGAAAGACAGATTTATCCTTCTTAGATAAATGCATGTGCAAATATTTTAGCATTTACTGCAGGATTTAAATTTGAGCTAAACGAAATCATTCATCGCATCAATTTTTATTTCGTTTCGGTCTATGCACAGTTTTCTCGTCAATTCTATACGTTTCTCACGGTTTTCACTTATAAAACCATCAAAACCAATTTCTCAGTCGAAAATCATGGTCTCAAATGTAACCCGTATTCGTATTGCAATACGCTGTGACAAGGTTCATTTTTCCGCATCCTTCAATAAGCCGCTCTGTACATAGTAGCTAGACGTCCCCTTTAACACGATAAAGGACACAAAGGGAATTCATTTATTGAGGAATTATAATGGAGATGTAATTATCAGCATTATAAATCGGCTTTATAGACTCAGTTAAACCTCAGTACTCAATATCGTTGTTACAGTTATTTATCGTTATGAAAGCATAATGAACGTCTCTTCTCTGAAACGCCTCTTATTCTTTGTGTCGCTGTGGATTTCCCAATAAATTTTTTCAAAAATTACACAGGATTCCTGCTCCGAATTTCAAACTCTTGACTGCAAGGCTATCTGTATTGACTATGACTTGATTGTCTTCAGTTAATTCAATACTGATAGCTTTGCAATCAATCGTTTGAAATTTGGAGTCGGAATTCTTAAAGGCCGGTTTAGACGGTACGATTTTCGCCTACAACTATCGTATACAACACGCTCGCGTCATCCTACAACTCGAGTCGTAGCGTGTAAATCAAGCCTACAACTCGCCTACGACAGACGCGAGCGTGTTGTATACGATAGTTGTAGGCGAAAATCGTACCGTCTAAACCGGCCTTTAGACATTTTAAAGAAAATTCTTGATTGACGACCACCAAAACTCAATTTTTCGTTTGCAATTTGGGTCTCAATTGGTCATGTTATGTTACAAAGATAACATACACTTAGATCCTTTCTTTCAAAAACTTAATTGTGAACAATGTGCATTATTGTGAATTAAATTAAATAGCAATTTTATAACTTTTACAATAAATAATTAATTACAAATATTACTTATTCTTTTGAATGTACCTTTACATAATTTTAGATTCACTATTTATCAACTCTTTGCCTATTTTGCTATTATTTTTCCTTCTCATTCTAATATTCCGTTTACTCTACTTCCCAGAAGTGAAAACTTCTGGGAAGTAATTTGATAGTACATGAAAGTATCCCTTCCTTTTCGAAGTATGGATGAAGGCTGGTCAAGATCTAGTGGTGCATAGGAATTTGGCCTTGATTTTTGGAAAGATATGGGAACATCTCAGTTGATATGATATATCCGTACTTTTCAAAGCCGGCAGTTTTCGCTATTAGTAGGATACAACTTATAGCCTAGTAGTAGCTCATCCAATCAGAACGCAGCATTGATGATAGGCCACTAGTTTTGACTAAAATACCGACAATAGCTTTGATGATATCAAGAAGATCCCCCACCTCATACCCCACGCAGTCCACGACCCTATCACCACCATTCTCGTACCCAGTCCCCTCTCAGCTTTCTCACGGAAAGCGTAATCGAATAGAAGGGTCTGGGTACGAGAATGTATCATCACAAGGTATGTCAATCTTCCTTCAAATTAAACTTAGTGAAATTAAATTTTGAAACATTTAGTCATAACCACTGACAGGTCATTATCTTCATCGTCATAAATATGGATTCGAACCTAACAGATTATCTCAACAGAAATGATAGAAATAGGGCAGGTCGTAGAAAAAGTGCTCTTTAGTCACGTGCTCGATGAGGCGTCCTTGAAGCAAGCTGTTCCCATAATTCGTAGCGGCTACTCGATCTTCTGCCAAACCCAAGTCTACAAGCCAACTGACAAGCTGATCACCACAGAATACGTTGTGATATGTACGGAAGTGATACCTAGGTCAGGATAAGATATAAGCAATTAACTTATTGAAAGATGGAAAGAAGGAAGAAAGGGAGTGACGAAGGGAGAAGAAAAGAAAGAAAGAGAGGAATGGATGAAAGGAGTGACCGGGAAGACAGGGAGTGAAGAAGATAGGAAGGAAGGAACGAGAAAAGGAAGGAACTGGTAGCCAGGGAGGGAAGGAATGCACGAAAGAAGGAAGGGAGAAAGGAAGGGAGAAAGGAAGGGAAAGAAGTAAAGGAGTGACCGGGCCGAAGGGAATCAAGAAGGTAGAAAACAAAGATCGTGATGGAAGGAACTGGTAAAGAAAGGGAGAAAGAAAGGGAGGAGTGAACAAGGGAGGGAAGAAGAGTAGTAATCCGACTCACGTTTTGTTTTCGACTAGAGCTCTTTTGCACTTCTGTCTATGATGTTTCGAGAATTGTTCACACAAGTGCACGACCTCTGGACTCAATTCATCAGGAGGCGTTAGCGTCACGGCTTCGGCGCCATAAAACAGTTTGCGGAATCTAACAAACACAATCAATATCGATGTCAGAAAATTTGGGATCAGTGGTGAGAATCCTTAAACAAGAATAGAAAATTTCATCATCATCATCATCATCTAATCATCATCATCATGACTTATCGCGCCAGGAAGCGCATAAGGCCTTTACACTATTCGTCCAACCTGCTCTGCTCTGCGCCACCAGAACGACACCTGGTCCTCCAGGTTTGGCCTTGGTCGCAGGGTTAACGACCATACCTCGTAAAAAAATGCTGTGTTACAGAAACCGTCATCGAAATGTATTAAAGTATGGACTTTACCGTTTGACGAATGGTACGATGATAAGCTGTTTGTCCATCCCAAAGCAGGCAAATGTAATAAAACCCTGAGAAACAAAAAAACTGATAAGACAACAGCCATGAAGTTCATGCAAGTCAAAAATAATTGAGATAAATCAATCAAAATTCAAAACAGAAATTTAAAAAAAGTTCTTTTCGTAGTGAAGCTGCTCATTTTTGCCATCAATTCAGTCTTTTATTTCAGAGAAAGAACTGAAAAGTACTGAAAAGTGGATGTAATACAAAATGAAGGTTTCTAATAAATATTCATTCGTACCTGGCCAAACAATAAAATCATATCCAGTACTCTCATAGCGATGAATAAACCACTCTTCCGAGATTCGTTTGTCAGGTACCAAACACACATGAACAATCCCTAAAAATTGATCAACATAAAAATGAAATGACTTGGTGTGATTCATACATCTCCATTTCTGTATGTATTTATACAATCAAAGGAGCTTCTCTGAGCAATGAATAGACCCCTTATCGAGTTCCAAATTACCGCTGTGTTTCTTGATTACAGACTCATTTACTCAGGCTTAGCCTTGAGTCAGTGTCTAATTACTCGCAAATACCAACGGTAAAGTAAAGAATGCACAAGTTCAACAATACGAACACTTTGAAACTTGACAGACCTCGACTGGAAAACGTGAATGTTCTTCACAAAATCGAGGCTAAGCCTGAGTAAATGAGTCTGTAATCAAGAAACACAGCGGTAATTTGGAACTTGAAAAGGGTCTATTCCAGAATGCTTTATATGGTTAGACACTAAGCTAGGGGTTCCTCCGATATTAGTTAGTGATGATGAAGTGGAGAGACTATATTCTAAAGAACAAGGCCTGATTCACACTGACAATGAAAATGCGCACGCAAGCGACGTAAGATTGGCCACTTTGCATACATCGGTTTACTAGCCAAACACAAAGCATTCAGTCGAGGGTACGAGGGTCAAATTTGAATAATCCTTTGAAAGTACCTTGTAGTCTCGATTACATGTTTTGTGTTTAGTGTGAGCCAGTTTATGTCAAATGCGAGCACAAGGTATAAAAAATATTAGGTTTTATTTTCAATGTTCTAGCTTTTGCATTTTAATTCCTAACGCACGTGAGCTGAGGGTGCGCAAATGCAAACACAGGAAAGAAAAATTGTTCGGGTTTTTGTTCTTGCTTTTGCGTCTTCCACTGATGTAAAGAGAGGGCAGCACAAATGCAAATGCAATCATAAAAGAAATTACGTGTGTCCTACAGTTAATGCAACTATGCAAATGCAAAGGCAAGAAATGGCATTTTTTCTTCTTTTCATTTTCTTGCTATTGCATACAGATGTATTAGTGTTTGCTTTCGGTTCTGATACACTGATAAACTTAAACTTACCACACAGAACGAGAAGGCCAAAATGAGAATAAGAATCACATGTTGAACAAGCTGGTGCTTGTCTCCATCCTCGTAATACTCCTGCAAGCTCAAGGCTGTTTCCAGTTCATTTAGCTCACTTGGCACTGAGTCGCTGTCCACATATCTAGTATTACGTTTTCCACTGGATAAAAGACACGTGCTCTCATCCAGGCTCTCGATGTCCAAAACAGTGTTTGATGTCTTTACGTTTGTACAGCAGTTGTCGTTAGAGGAACCACAGTCGTTCTGGGTTATTTCTTTTTCTATCTCTTGGCAGCGATTACACCTAACAAAACGAGTACGAACAGCCTTATTAGAGTTCTTTTCTTTTTTTTCTTCTTCTTTCTTTCTTTCTCTCTTCTTTCTCTCTTTCTTTCTTTCTTACTTTCGTTCTTCCTTTCTTTCTTTCTTTCTTTCTTCCTTTCTTTCTTTCTTTCCCTCTTTCTTTCTTTCGTTCTTTCTTTCTTTCTTTCTTTCTTTCCACCAATCCATCCGTCCGTCCGTCCATTCTAGCATTCCATATTTATTTCATTTTTCTTAAGTTTTACCATAGCGCATTGAAATAATATAATGCGCTATATACGCACTATATATTATTATAACTATGGCACGGCACGGCACGGTATATAACCGGAATTTTAAAAGGCTCAAAAGGGTTTTTCTTGAACGTGCGTGCTATTGGGAAAATGAAGTAGAAATTATCATTTGAAATTTGCAACTTTGAAATTTTTGGAGCAAAAGTTATCAAATTCAAAATAAACTCAAAAACTTTGCAATGCTTGTCCAATGAAGAAGCTCATACAAGACACCGTCACAATCACTACTGCACCGTTAGTTTTTCCCAGTTATACAACAGTTCCACATTTAGATACCAACTTTTACAACTGAGTCCTGTAAGATCTAATTTAACTTCCTGTTGTAACACATACCTGGCTTTGCATTCTTCGTCTGTGTTACTTAGTCCTGTTAAATGTGGTGAAGATAGTCTTCGTACACTTTTAGGACACTTGCAAAATTTGTCACAGCGCTGAAGTCGAATGAGGGACCAAATGATGATGATAATGCACAGAGCCAGAGCTATGACTTCAAGTACAAGAACTGCCCTCTAAAAAAGTGAAAGGCAGTCATTAAGATGAAATAATGAGCACAAGCTTATGCATAATTGTCCTTGTTTTTATGACGGTAGCACTTATTAGCCAGTGGCTAACAAACCTGTGGCCCTCTTGCATGTGCAGGCACTGGGCACTCATAGACAATATATGACCCAGCCTAAGTTGTGCATTGCTCATTCTCATTAAAGACGAGCTGCACCGAGTCTGTGTACATGTTGCTAGCTTATACTCATGTTGCAGGCTCAATTGTGCATTGATGATGCTTATACTTATATCGTAGACTCAGTTGTGCATTGCTCATTAACAGCAGTTGTCCTCACGCCTGAGCTGCCCTGAGTCTGTGTGGGTGCTTATGTCTGTATGAGCTGTTAGGCCCAAGAAAAACAACATCCAGACATCAACACACTAAGGATAAGATTGGCTGTATAGACCTTAGATGTTGTGGTGCAGTGTTTTCTTAATTCAGACCATGTCATTACCTAGAGAATGAGATTCTTTGTTTGAGTTGAATCTATATTCATGTGTCTTCTCATGTGCAACCTCTACACAAATAAATGATACTCTGGGAATGACAAGTGATGTGTAATGGGAAACACTGCACTATGAATAAGGTCTACCAGTATATTCAATGGTGTCTGATGATTCTAAGTACTGTACCTGGTTTTGAACATAAGCCAAGTATGGCTGAGTGTCATGAGCAGGCTGTTTTAACACCACAAAGCACAGTTTCATGCCAGTGAAGACAACTGGCAGCCTGAAAACAGAACATAGCTCTTTAGTAATAGAACAGTTTTTGCATGACTTTGAAAAACTCAATGCTGTATCCATTCCTTGCCATGACTGCGATGTTTTCTAGAATTGCCTGATTTGTATCTCACAAAATAATGTTGGTCTGGCAGTGCTGTGACCTTGGTATGGCCCTGTCCGGCCGTGTTCATGACATGTTTTGGATATCTGGATTTAGTGCAATGTGATTGGTCTGAGCTGGTGTATGCTGGTGTATGCTGGTGTATGCTGGTGTATGCTGGTGTATGCTGGTGTATGCTGGTGTATGCTGGTGTATGCTGGTGTATACATGTCAAGGAGGCGTTCATGCCACAAGCTTTTTTTTCACAGTCATATGAAAACTACTCTAATAAGATTTTTAGCAATATTTTCAATAATACACACTAACTTACCCAAAAGAAAAGAAGTAGATCCATGGTTGCCAAGTCTTGATAGATCCCCCTTTACACCTGACAAGACACAAACTAAATGCAAGCATTGCAGTCCAACATCTGCATAGAAGACCAGTGACACTTATTGATGCAAATAATACCAAATGCCAGTACTTGAAGGTGCAGTCAATGTCAGTAAGGAGAGTTAAAGATGAAAAAATGACCTAGTATAAAAGAAATCGGGTATTGACCTGTCAGTATTAGCTAGAAATAAACTTATATTTTACAACCATCACTACCTGTAAGGGGTCCAAATACCCTAGTATTATATAAATTCACTATACAAATACAACATTATTAAATGTTGATTTTTCAAAAGAGAGGGAAACCAGAGAACCCAGAGAAAACTTTCATACCTGTGACTCTACATACCAGGCCACCCGTACAACAACAGTACAAAATGACTCTCCATCATTTGCCATGCAAGAGAACTGCAGCAGTGTTCCTGTCCCACAACATGGCGGCTCACAGATACAACAACAGTGCAATATTATAATTCTCCATCATTTGCCATGCAAGAGCATTGTGGCATTTTTCCTGTCTAACAACATGGTGGCCCACAGATACAACAACTTACAGTACAAATACAACTCTTTATCATTTGTCATGCAAGAGCACTGCAGCAGTGTTCCTGTCCCACAACATGGCAGCCCACAGATACAACAACAGTACAAATACAACTCACCATCATTTGTCATGCAAGAGCACTGCAGCAGTGTTCCTGTCCCACGACATGGCTGCCTTGCAACCCCTATAATTATAGCATCTTACCTGGGATACTACAAGGTGTAGTGTATACTTTTGTGGAAGAAGTCTCCACCGCCTTCCCAGTAGAAGCATTGCTATCACCCACAACTATAAAATGAGAGAAATTAAACAGGAGCTGAAAGGGTTAATTTTATTATATCAATAAGGGTTTCTAAACAATAATTGGGGAGGGGAGCTGGGACTACAGTATATAAATAGCACCCCTCCCCCAACCCCCTCCCAAGAGCTCAATAACCTCTTCCCCTTAGAACACTTTAGTGACAGTGTCAAAACAATAGTCCTTGTTAGTGACCTATTTTGTTGGTTTGCACTTGGTAAGAGAGATACTCTCCCACTCATAATTTGAGTAACTTGATATTTGATAGATGAGGGGGTAAGCCATGTGGGATGGGTTTGGAAATCCTATAATAACATGCTTACATGTAGTAGGTAAATTACGAGCCTTGTATGAAACGACTGAAGAAGAGGGCCCATGGGGCTTTCACAACTTCAAGTTGCCTAAACTATGAGCCAGCTCGACTAGAAACTGTGGATACTCGATATTTGGCTTTGATAGTGACCATTCACCCATCCTGTCTAAAGTACGTAGGTCTCATTATTACACAACAATTGCTTTAACCTCATCTTTTATTTGGTGTATAATTTAAATTGTAGATACCATTTAAAAATTAAAGCTCAAAACATATATGGCTGAATAACTTACCCCAAAAGGAATACTAACTCCACAGGCATCATATATAGTTTTTCCTATGATGCTGTGGTAATGTAACCGAAGCGCTGGAGTGTATTTTATTGCAATCATTCTGGCCGATGTATACAAGACTGGAGCTGATAGAAATGTTCCTAGTACTACACCAGTTGCAATCTGAAAATATGAAGAAAAAATACACGTATAGGTTAATACTTTTAAACCGGCTGATGCTTCTGATTGCACAGAACCAATTAATAGCAGCTACAAATTGTCCATTTTGAGAAACAGAGAAAACAAAAAATAAGCAAATGAGAGTTGGTGTGCTGATGATTATTTTGAGCAGATTTATGGTGGGTGAATAAGTATAAGTGGGTGGTTGTCTTGGTAAGGTGTGTGTGGGTACAGTAGGTGAGTATCTTAATTAGTATCTTACTGTATCTTACCAAATCTTCTGCTACACCAAACCTGGAAGCAAATATGATCACTGTTGGAGCTGTTGGAATAGTCCCATACAGAAAACCAAACATACTCCATTCATTGGTGAGAGTATTATTAGATCCACCAACATCAAGGATCTGGATGAATTCTCTTGCTAGTAGTGGGACAAACAGTCTACGAAAGAAAGTTGATGGAATAGGAATGCATATTCAAAAAGGGAGATTTAGTGGTACTGTTTTCGTCAAGTAATATCAGGATATGTGTAGCCTAAGTGGCAGGTGTTCCTGGCTGGGGGCCAAGAGGAAATGGGGAGAGAGAGAGAGGGGGGAGAAGGGAACTCCCCATTTCCTCTTGGCCTCCATCCAGGATATATGCTATTTTATACTAATTTTATCCAATAATATCGGGATACATGTATTTGGTACCATTTTCATCCTAGAGTAATATTGGGGTATTGAGTAGAAATTAATATTAGTAAGTTTCGTTCAAGAAGGTGGCATCATATGACCTCTCAGTGTGAATTATAGCATGATGAATCAGTCAATCCTTTCCCTATTTAAATTTTTTTATCCACATTTTTCTGTAAACATACAACTAGAAGAATATTTCATCTATGAAATATAGCACTTACATTTTGGTGAAAATGAGAAGCAAAGGAACAATCAATCCATATCCCATCTTCTTTTTCATATTTCCAACCATTTTTAAACCAAGAAAGAAGAGTGCACTTGCAAAAAATGAAGAACTCAGGACATCAAGAAACCCATTGATAATTACTGGAACCTTTTGTCGTAGAATAAAGTTTGCAATGATGCCAATGAACGTCATGAATACAATAGGGTTTAGTATAACTCCTTTGATAGTTGCTATGGCAACATGACCCTTTTTAAGGTTAAGGTGGTCACTATGCTTGTTAAACTCCAAGAAGATAAAGCCTATAGGATTTAGCAGTACTACCGATATTGGAGCAAGAAGATAGATGTAGCTGAGAAAATCTGGCATTGAGTCACGGTAAAGTGCCTTCACTGTACAAAAAGAAAGAAAAAATGTCAGTTTAAATAAAAGACAAGAATTAAAAGAGTTATCAGTATAAAATATAGATAATCCTGTAACAGTGGCTCTCATAAGAGGTCAATGAGCTTGATATCTGGCCCCAATCATACAAAGGGTGAATAGCACTATCCAACAGATAAAACCTTATCCAGTGGATAAGTCGATGCTGTTACCAAACAAATTTATCCACTGGATAAGATTTATCTGTGGGATAGCACTATTCACCTTTCATACAATCGGGCGCTGATGACATGTTGATTAGGCCAAACAAAAAAATAAGTGTGTTTCCTGTTGCATGAGAAAAATAATTGGGTTCGTGTTCAGTAAGTCAGATTTTATTTTTTATTTTTACTGATACAAGATTGGAAATGAGCTTACTGGGAACCCTGTGGTGCATTTTGGAATGAAAAAATTCTAGGGTCGGCAAAAATCGCAAGGAAATCAGGGTCGTGTGGTCGCACACAAGGAAACACACTCATTTTTTTGTTTGCCCTTAGTATTATGTGCCATTGCCTGCACTAATTTTCAATGAAGGGGTACTTTGGAATAGCCTCCCAAATGAATTAATAATAATAATAATAATAATGGTTTAATCAATAAAATCCAGGTGGTGGCTCTTCACCTATTGATAAACTATTATGGCAAGCACAAACCCTTCGTAGTTTTTGTGCTGGCTGTAAACAATTTTTTAAGTAGCACATTAAAGCTCGATAAATGACACTCTTGAAATTAGCAGGCTCTTTTGTTTATTTTTTCGTTTTTAGTATTATCTTTTATGTATTTAATTAGATAGATAGTATTGTAGAGTGCAAATAAAATACCCATGAAATAGTTAGGATGAAATAGGAGATAGTTAGTGCTTAATAATTAGACAAAACATAGGAATTCAGTGAGGCATGACAAGGGCACGGGCGTTYAYWAGAGTRACAACTCAATACGCAAATGAATAGATACGAAAATGCGAACATGTCAAATTAAACGAAGGAAAAGCATGTACATTGAATAAAAAATTGTTTCAGTTTTTGTAAGTGTGTTTGAAAATATTTTAAAATGTGCGCCCTTGAGTAGCACACGTGCACTAGTTTACCCGTCACGGCTCGCCTATTTCATTAACTAATTAGACTTAGTTAACCAATGGCACAAAGTTAGTAATTAGTTAGCTAGCTGTCTATTTCCAGGGGAAATATTATTTGCACTCTATCATTGTATATAGATATTGGAATTTCTATTATATTCATTGTAAAAAAAGGGTTAGAGGATTTAGGGGGGATTACATGACAACTAGAGGCGAATCAGCTATATGTTGACAAGTATCAAAGGGGAATACACTGAGAGAGTGGCAGCCACTATTGAGGGGAGGTCATAAAATCCTTATGATGTATGTAGCAACAAAAAAAATTTCGGCCCTCCCCCAGTCAAAAATAATGCCTTGTACCTGAAGATGTTCCACATGAATGTGAATATTCCCAAAAAGAAGGACACATGGTCTAAAAAGGGTAAAGGTTATGCCCAAGCTAAAGAGGTCTACTCTTTCCATCAACTTGACAAAAATAAATTTACTAATAAAATTTAAAAAAAGTGACCACTATGTTAAATACAGATTCTATTCAAATTTAGGAGGGAAATATTGAAAGAGAAATCTGAATTGTAGAATTTACTCAAGTACATTTCGTAAAAAATTCAAATCCATCGAAAATTAGATAATTCAAGGGGAGGGAACAACCCCGGGGGGTACAACGACGCCTGGCATGTTATATAATCAATCAAAACATCACCTTACACCAAAAGTTATGGCGCATGACTTGATCCCGTTACGTAATGTTCGCTTTTCCTAAGCTAACAATTGGATTTGCAAAGTAAATTTGCCATATGTACTTACATAGAGGAAAACCCAAGGCAAAGTCATTGGACTGTGTACAGAAGATAGCAAATATTCCAGCTCTTCCATATTTCTGCGGCTTTCCAAGAATCAAAGTTAACACCACTACAATAATAAACACTATTCCCTTAGCTATCAAAATAGCAGCAAGAAATTTCCAGTTGACTTTTAAGAAATCAAGTTCAACCATAGACTTGAAGAGAAGTGCTGGTAGAGCAAAATGAGAGACGAAATTCCCTATTCCTTTTCCTTGAGCAGTCGATATGAATCCAAACCGTCCACTTACATAACCCAAGAGAATTATTGCAAAACACTCGACCAAGGCTGGAAAAAGATTGTTGATGTCGGTCGGGCCACCAGACGTGGTACTGTTGCCTTCCATAGCAATTTCAATACCAACTAGGCCTCCTTTCTGTATTCTAGCATTCCTAAATTATTAGTACCATGCTTGACTACACGACAATATAACTTTTTCATTCAACAGCCTTCAGCACCCTTCTCACATGCACACTTGTCTGTCCGAATTGTTTTTCTAACGTTATATCTGATTGCACAAATCTCCACCAATCATAGCTCTTGACATATCTTTGATCAAGAATTGAAATTCATAACACTCGACTTGATTGGTTTATTAGGAACCAATCCAAACGCTTCATATAATAGTAGGTTCTCCATCCGCCATCTTTGGAAAATAAAATGACTTGATAAAAAACTTTGAAAAAGCAGTTATTTTAGGGACAAAAACATGCTATCTCGCGTAGTTAAAGAGCACAATCAGAAGCAGGCAGCTCATAAGGATGTGCAAGGTATGTTTGATTGTATTTTTTTTCATTTGTATGGCGCAAATTGTTGTTCTCTGCATAAATTAATAGCTTTCCCACTTACTGTGTTTGTAGAGCGCAGGAAACGAGAGGCTGCCATAGAAGCTTCTAAGCTAACTTATCGTTTAATGGATACCCTCAATTCAGGGTAAGTCTGATGGCAAGTCTAAATCATGACATTTTGGGAGTTCATATTGCAGTCATCATTGTGTTTTCATATACAGTATGTTAGGCGTGTGTTTTGTTGAATGAAATGGTCTTTTATTATATAGACATCGATGAAATAGCATGTTTTCTCTAGTGTCGAAAACTTGATATCTTTCACCAGTGGAAGATACCATATCTTTCACACGTGAAGATATCGCTGTTGAATCGGCTTGCTATTTTAATAAAGAATTTTTGAGCTTTTGTTTTATTCAAGTTTCATCGATATCTATGTAATAAACAGAACAGGCCGCTTGGAGATACAAATCTTCTCGTGTTCAATTTAGATATCTCACTCATGACATATCAATTGAACACTTGAAGATAAAATTCGTATCTCCGCGTGCCCATGTAATATCCTCTATATATCTTAGGGTTGTTCATTGTTTAGCAGAGGGGTGAGGGTGAAGGGGGACTGAAAACTTCATTCAGGAAGGGGAAGGGTATTAATAGGAGCTGGGAAAGCAATAAAATATAGTGCGGCAACCCGGAAACTAGAAAAAATTGGCATCGGCCATGACTTGGAAAAAGTACCAAAACTGTTGACCGTGCGTTGGCCAATCATCGCTCAACACAAGGCCGATGGTCAGCCAATACACAGTCAACACACGGCTGATAGTCAGCCAACGCTCGGTCAACACACGGCTGATAGTCGGGCGACTGTCAACCAACAGTCGGCGATAGTCGACCGACACGTGTCGGTTGGTCATGAAGTACATGATTACATTTATATGAACTCATGACATAAGCCCATTTACTGTATAAGGAAAAAAGTTTGCACGAGAGCAATACCAGCAATGTAATTGTTATTTTAGTACTGCAGTTTTCAATATTCTGTGAACTCTGACATTTCAATGGCTTATTGTGAAATTGGTTTTTCACTGCTGTCAGTCAAAAATATTAAGGTACTGACTGATTACATGCCTGTAATTTTGATTGACAGCAGCCAAAAATTAATTTTCAACATGCAGCTTAACTACTGAGTTCTCAGCATATGGAAAACCATAGTAATGTAACTGTAGTTTCATTATAATGATAATCCTTAGAGTGGAAAAAGCATATGGAAAACCACAGTAATGTAACTGTAGTTTCATTATAATGATAATCCTTAGAGTGGAAAAAGCATATGTTAATCAAAGAAAATTGGAAACTGAAGCCAAGCAACTACAAGCCCATGTGGGTATGTACATATATAGACATGATCAATACTGAAACAAAGGAAAACATTGAAATAGAAAACTAGTATGAAAATGGCAAAAGAGTTTGTGCTTCAGTTAAGTGTATCCCAGCTTCATTCATATGGTATTAAAGCTGTGGGAGTGCAGATTAATTTGAGTTACATGTTTCAGTATTCCTCCCTCCCCCCTCCCCCATAAAATCAGTTAAAAATGAAAAATTTTTGATGACCTGCTTGGTGGACAAAAATGGGCCATTTTTGGAAGTAGTTTCTTGAACATCTTCTTATATGTATAACAAGATTAACTTCACATGCTTTTGTTTCTGTATTATCAACCCTGCATATATCTTAGTTTATTATTGTACATTATATGAATCCTGTTTTAATATCTTGCATTGTTGTTTCCAGCTCAGTATTCTAAACAAACTACACTATGGTTGAAAATGGTGGAAAGTTTTAATCAGTCATTAAAGGTAAGGTATGGCATATCATGCATTGCATTGAACTATTTTGAGACTAGCAGCATTGGCAATATTACTCCATGATTACTAACAGAAGCTAATCCAAAGCATTTTGAAATGATCCCTTCATTTCGTACTTCATTTTGGAATTTTGTTTGTAATAAGTGGTTTCACACTCACTTACTTATGGCTCACTGCAGAAGGCTATCACACTCTCTGACCAGGGGTTGCATTGTGGGACTGTTTTAGGGGACAAAATACATGTTATCTTAGAAATATTTTCTCTAAAACCAGCCCACAATACACTGCAATGCCAATGGGATCCATTTTTTTCCTCAACCTTGGAAAGTCTAATAATTCTGTGTAGCTTTATCCTTGCATACCTTACCTCATCTTTATCTTGGGAGGGCCGATAGAGAGAATTTAAAGAGGTTTGGTTGCAACTTACATGTACAGTCTTTGATGATCTGAGTCAGGGGTCGCATGCTACCCAACTTATTCAACTCATATATTCCATGCCCATTTTTTGTTCTAGGAACTAGGAGATGTTGAAAATTGGTCAAGAGTCATAGAGGCGGATATGACATCAATAGCTAGTGCTTTAGAGTATGCATATAAAGGTATGTATCTGAAGTACAAACATGTATTCTTGGTTTTCACATGACGTCATGGGCTCAATGCATGGGGTCGGCGGCCATATTGGTGTACCACGAGCTAATTAGCATATGTCAAATACAGTGTTGTGACCGGAAAAATGCGAGTAATAACAGTGCGATGTCTAGTGAAAATCTCGATAAAAAACCGATTTATGCCTTGATAAATACAGCAGCCCTGTTCCTCTGCTATCAGACTACGCTACAAAGCTGGAAAACCACGTGAAGCGTCGATATTTGGAAAAAATATCCCTTGTTGGAGTTGACCCGGTCACGCTACTAGACGCGAAGTTAGATACCGAATGTTTACCTCCGATCGAAGCTACTGATCTCCTATGTTATTTAGTACTGGAAACAAGTTATTATACTTCTCAGCAGTTTAAGGCTTTTAAAAGTCTAGAGGCTTATAATCAGATGGTCTCTGGATTCATCACCAGTGTTCAAGGGAAGAAAATTTCAGGAAAATACKTGGTTTTGTCGAAGGTGAGACATTCCCAACGTATGAATGAGCCACCGATCCCTATTTGGATTATTGCTAGCGAAGAAGGGACGGTGTTTTCAGCTCATTGTATGGGATGCAAAGCTGGACTAGCTGAATCATGTTCGCATATTGCCAGTGTGTTGTTCTACATTGAAGCGTGGACAAGAATTAGAGGTAAACTATCTTGTACCCAAGTAAAATGCACGTGGCTACTCCCCACTTATGTTAATGAAGTGCCATACGCGAGAGCACGCGATATTAATTTCAAGTCCGCTCAAAAGATCAAAGCCGAGTTGGACCTTAAAATTGATGCATGCACAGAAAATCCTGAGTCCCCACCGTCAGTGAGTGCAGCA